CGGAATTCAATGAAAAATAACTCTTGCTAACAGGTACTACTTCGGACTGAGTAGGCAATTGAGAAGTGAAGTCCTCTCTCGATGAACAAAGACCCAACTATAAAATTAACTCATTATTCTCATACTGTTATATGGTGCAGAGACATAGACGATGACAACATCTGATGAGTCGCTTTGCGCATCGGCAACGGTGAATATCACATTCAATGAAACGATAAGCTTTACGAGTTATATGACGACATAGACATAGTTCGGCGAGTTGAGAGACAGCGACTATAATGGCTAGGTCATTTTGTCCGTATGGATAAGAAAACTGCAGCTTGACGTATGGTCGATAGAGTACGCCCTTGGGGAAAGCGTTGGAAAGACCAGGTGGAGAAAGTCCTGGCTACGCTTGGAATCTCCTATGGAGCCAAACAGCGAAAAGGAAAACGACGGACACGTCGTTGTCAACTCGGCTATAACCTCGTAAGCGGTGTCTATGCCAATGTCAAGAAAGCACGAAGTAATGTTGTCAGAGAATCAATGAATGATAATTACCATCGAATATAGCCTAAAGTTTTTTCGTACTGAATTGAGGAATGGAAGGTATTTAAACCACATATTTGTAAAGTTACGATCTTTCAGATTTACTTCCTCTATTGTTTAGTAGACATTTTATTTTTAAAATTTAAATTAGGCCTGAAGTAGTAAATAAAGCCAATAATGAAAGATACAGAATTGATACGAAAACGAATCTGCCAAACTTGCTTAGTAATTGTAGTCAAGTCTTTTCCCTTCTTTCGCTCACGAAGTCTTCTGATGTACTTATTTACAATACTGTAATGATGCCCTGCCTGAAGATTAGACAAAAAAAACGGAATAAATGTTGTTTTCGGCAAAATCAATTTATTTTTTGCATGGTTTAAAAGCATGTCGAACGAGTGTTTTAGCTCTTTGGCCGGTAAGGCCGCCAGTATGCCAGTGCAAGCCTTTTGAATAGCCTCTACGTCTGCATAACGCTGCATTTTTCGGAAAAGAAAGAAGTCGCACGGTGCGTTTCAGGTGAATACGTGGAGTGGTTAAGGGTTAAACGATGATCACCGTCATTTATGTCCTCACGACCACTTTAAAAACGTTGAAACCACTCGTGCACTCTGCTACGACATAGACAATCATCGCCATAACTTTGTTTCATCAATTGAAACGTTTCGGTAAAAGTTTCACCACTTTTAAAACAAAACTTAATGTTGGCTCTTTGTTCGAAACTCATTTTCGCACCGATAACACAAACATACTGACTCTTAAAACGCAATAACTTCACTTTCAATCTATTAAATTTCATGAAATTGGATTACTTTGGAGCACACCTTGTATTAAGTTTGAGAAAGGTTTTGACGATTGAATGTAGCGCTGGAATAAATGCTTAATATCAAATTGGGACTGTTTTGAAATCGACAATATTATTGCAGGCGAATGAATAAATATTTTTTTTCACACAACCAAAATTTTCGTTATTTTTTAAACACACCTCGTACGCCAAGAAGCATTCCAATGTTTTTTTCAGTTCTCTGCACGAATTATCGCCCCAAAATTAGATTAGAGATATGTCAGAGTGTAGCACACAGCGTTAGTATCAAAAAATTCGGAGAAGGTATTTCCATTTCTTGCTAAGCTAGATGTGTTGCTTAGTGTAAAATTAAAAGCCATAAAAGCTTTGCTCTGCTTTATGTTTTGTTGGGATGTGAAGTTCCCTCCGATATTTTCTTCCATTTTTATCAAAATGGATACAGCCTGATGACCATTTTTAAGCTCATACCTAAGTCAGAAAGTATTGCATTTATTGCTGTCACACTGTTTGTGATTCGCATGCATTAATTTTTCACGGTTTACCGACATTCATAAAATCATCAGAGAGAATGTTGAGCAACTCCAGCCGCTGTCACCTTTCCTTCAATAAACGGCTTTTCATAAACTTGGGAACATCGCCAGGTAACTCGGCTGCTGATGCACACCTACATAAAGCACATTTACATATCGTCACCTGAAATGCAAAATAACGTAACAACATTTTCGGAAATTTTCGGTGGCATGAAACACCAAATAAAATGGAACATGAGTGAAAAAAATTTTAATATTGGTTAAAGCTGGTTTATATCTGAGGGAACCTGAAAATGTTGGACATATGTAATATTATGTATGTAATTTGAAGTAGTGCATCATAATCAATAAGACACACAATTTCGAATTTTTTGGTGATACGTTTTTTTGCATTTCAGTTGACAATATGTAATTATATGTACGTATACATACATATGTACTCATATATATAGTAGACGCATTAAAAAGTTTTAGCAATGGTTAACTTTCGCAAAAAAATATAATAAATATAATTTCTATAAATGTATGTACTTTGTATGTGGTGTGTGGATGGAATTTTCTAAATGCGGTAATTGAAAAAGTTTTTGCAACCTCAAAGGTCGCTCTTAAAGTTGTTGAGTCTATGGATATTAATTGTTGTTTACACTCGCTAAACGCGTTTCATTAGACATGCATGGTGAGTTGTGGGCATCTCGCACAAAGAGGACACATGAAAACATATCGCACCGGAATATTTACATAAATTTATGTCCCCTTAATTTTTAATTCATGTACTGCAATGACGCAAATACTATCCTCACTAAAAAGTGGGAGGGAGAACATTTTTGCCATACACATAATCTGAACTTGTAATTATCGAGATTTATTTATTTTTTATATGGATGTCAAAAAGTTTAACATTGCATAATCTCTCGGTGTAAAAGTCAAAGTCATTTTATAAACTTCGCTAGCTTGCCTATCCATACTCCAAGATAACAATATTTTCATCGTCGAAAAGATGAAATTTTATACACCCTCCAACTATTTGGCCGATTTAAATGAATCGAAATAAAAATCAAAATGTTCAGCCGAATTTATTTCTAGATGTCTATCTTTCGGTTCGTGCAAACGAAAGCTGATGTTCATTGATACTCAGAGGAACCATTAACCGAATATGTTTATAGTTTATGACCAACTAGACAAGCTGCAAAAATTTTGTTGCGATGATCACACTCCTTACTGTGGTTAATAAAATTTTTGTAAAGCGAATAAGAGCGCGTAGGCTCAACTATCAAAGCTAAAAATTCATGGCGCAGTCGGAAAATAGACAAAATCGAATAACAAACAAGTTTTTAAGTGAAATTCTGTAACTCAGCAACGACTTGACCAATTCAGTCAAATTTCATATACCGTCAGATTGTTTCACAGTACAATAGATCAATCAAACTTATTTACAGATTTCGGAATTAAACTTCGCATTGAGACATTCCGCTGTAAAAATTATGGATATCAGTTCGCTTTCCGCACTAGTAGGATCAATATAGTGGCAAATATATTATATATGTAAGAAAATATGTGACCTTGAGGGTAAATAGATCAATAAGTCAAATAATGCGTATTCGATTCCTTTGCAGCATTTTTATACTCCTGCAACAATGTAGTATAGAGTATAACAATTTTGTTCACTACGGTTGTCTGTATCCCCGAAAAATAATCGAGTAGATATAGGGTTACATATGCATATATAAATGTTCGCGATGATGAGACGAGTTGAAGTTCGTGCCTGTCTGTCACTCCGTCTGTCTGTCTGCAACCGATAAGTTGAGTAAAACTAGTATATCTTTATAGAACTTGATACTCCTGTGCCTTGGCAAAAAAGTAGGAACGAGTTCGCATTTGGGCGTAATCGATATACCGCGACGCCCACAAACCAATCAATCGAAGACTTTTATAACTGAACACTAAATGGGGATACAAAACTGCAAATTGATAAAGTGAATTGCAGAAGCAACCGACACCTTGCCCGAAAATAAGTGTGTTCACGCCCGTTAGGCGTAACATTTCTCCTAACTCTTTAAAGCTGTAATATGCAAAATCTTATCTCTGTCGCTTGTCAAGCTCTTCATACTCACATATTTCGGCCTCCCTCTTTTTTCGTCTGCAAATGCATCTCTCCTCCCTCTTCAACTCTCGGTATCTATCCCATCTCGCACGTGTTCTGGTCAATTTTAACGTTGCGAGGTAGGCAGTATGATTTCTCTCACTTCGATACGTCACTCCTCATCGTGACAGCAGTTCTTTTGCCTTTTCCGAAAGTCAAAGGTTTCGCCTGCCGCCGTACTTAAGGAGCTTGAAATGCTGCCCCTCAATTTACTTATACCTAACTTTTACTTATTTCTGATGAGTGCTCTCAGAGAGCAGGAGTGCAAGACGAGTAGAAAATCGTTCGGCTGCCTTTTATGATTGCAGCTTTTCAACGTCGAACATAATTTGTGTTTGTTGACGAGCGTTTTTTTTGTTTGGTGCACAGAGGTGGGTGCTTATCTCAGCTACAACAAGATAGTGGCCCGAATCAATGTTTGGATATCGAAGCATACATACTCTAATACACTGGAGATGTGACTTATGTCTATCACAACACGATCGATCTGTTAGGTGGCTTTTCAATCCGGTGGCAGCCAGGTAGCTTGATTCTATACTAGAATCTAGTACTACCATCCTTTATCGCTCAGCCTCAACCCAGAACAAGAACGATTTGAGCGCAAATCAGCGACCCAGTTGACCAATTTCAACCAAATTTTGTACATAACACTATACAGATGATCTTATAATATGTTATGAAAATGGGTCAATTGGACTTAACCAAGACTTGCTTCCCATAATTTTAAGTTCCATATGATTTCTTCATTGTGGCTCCATATACCCCTAAAATTCCTTTAATTTTATTTGCACTCTTTATTTACATATTAAGTGATATTTTATTGTAGAGGTTGAAAAAAATCCAAAAGTTGTAAGAATCATCCCATAGTTTCGAAAAAGCTTTCAAAAAAAAACTATTTTCAGTGGCGCAAATAAGGTGTATATAATATAAACAATTCATTTTTTTTTTCAGATGAAAATAATTACATATTTACTTTATTTTCGAAATAATATTACTTGTACGACCTCTAAAACACTAAGTCATTTATATATAGTTTATAGAGTTGTGTGAGCAAATAAATAACGGTATGAATGTTATATTGAAAGGATGAGAGGTGAGTGGAAGAAACAAAATTTGAATAGTCCCGTTACGATCGAATTGCGATGGAATAGAAGGCAGCGTCACCGTGGCAACGTAACAAAATTTCTCTGTTCTCGCCCCATTTTTCATGGTCTCAACACCCTAACCTCACTACTGCCTTAAGGGTACTTAACAATGGCATTATTGTCGTCATTACCGCCACTTGTCGCTGTTGAACCTAATTGTTGTTGCTGTTGCTTCCGATCCGGTTCCGGTCGCAAATGTTGTTGCTGTTGTTGCTGTTGATTATCGACATCAGCATTTGCTACATTTTCCAGCAGCTTTTGTGTTACCAAGGGTGAGCCGGGGTTATATAGGTGCGTTCCATAGTGCACACCCGCCGGATGTATAAAGTAGGGTAATCCCCCTCCTGACCAAGGCGCCCCGCCGATGCTCTCGACGGCATCCTGCGGTGCCACATAGACTGCAGGCCGGCCACTGAATGCCGACAATGCTGGTGGTGGATGTTGAAGCGAAGACTGCTGCAACTGAAGAGGTGCTTTTGCAACTAAGAGGCTTTGTGGGTTTAATGCTGCTGCAAACGGGGACGGTCCACTGGGTGGGGGCTGAATGTGGTAGTAGGAAGGTGGAAGAGCAGTCTGTGGCGCGAGCACTGCACTCGGTGATGACAATTTGACTAATGTTGCTGCATGTTGCGCTGGTCCGAGTTGTCCTTGAAAGTAACTGGCATAGGGAGATGATGGTAGTAAATGCTGCTCGGGCTGCTGTGGTTGCACAAAGGTGGGGCCATAGAACAATACCGGTGGTGCTAGGGGCAATGGCGATTGTATCGGCAATGCAGTTGTAAGTTGCGGTGGGGCAGGAGGTGGTGAAGCCGGAGAATTTACTGCGGGAGGTGGAGGTGAGGGCACCTGACTCACTTTTGATTTCGGACCGCCACGAGGCGTCCCTGGATGTGGATGTTGTTGTGGTTGCGAAGGTTTTGATAGCTGCGTGTTGCGCTCCTCGATGGCATGCGGCTGCTGTTGATCCGATGCATGACCTGCAATTTGATAATTAAACAGTTTAAATTTCAGTTCTTTGACTTAAGAAATATATATGTTCATACAAATATAGTCTATGCTGACCATAATACATAGTACACATCTACATACAGAGGTAGTTCTTAATGAAGCATCTTAGTAAAATGAAAGATTTGCTTTGAAGAAACTTTCTTCGGAACATGGAACCCCTCTTCAATATTAATATTACAATTTAGAATTTAGAATTTATGCAACTGTACACAGGTCCGACGTCCGGCGTGAGTAGTAATTTAGATGCGTGCTGATGACGCAGGACATTATAACGTCGGAAATACTTCTGCCAGCTGAAAACGTATCTTTGTTAGAAAACGTTCTTTTCATTAATTTTCAGTTTTTAGTGCTCAAGTCAAAAGCACTTGATAAAAATACCAAACTAAGTCCTCAATCTTATTATGCTACGTAAAATATTGCTATAAAGGAGACAAAGTAAAAACATTTGACTTGATATTTCCGGATTATCTAAGATCAAATCTGGTTAGGTATTTGTGGCCAATGCCAATGCGTAAAAGATTCCCCTTATAATTATGTGCATATGAATGTATAATTAAGTTTACTATCGCGGAATGTCAATGCCGCGCTTCCATCTCTTTCGGATATTATGATAATGACGGAAGGCGAATATTTGAGCGGCAATGCATTTTAATTACCGTAATGTGGCAAGTGATGAGGTTGTTTGACCTGAAGTTGCAGCTGCTGCTGCTGCTGCTGTGGTGCATGGCGAATAAGTTGCGGCTGTACGTACAACAACTGCGAAGCCGGGTACACTGCCGGTCGAGGTCGCGCCAATGCTGAAAGGAGCAAATTCATCGGATAAGGCAATTGTTGTGGCGTCAACGCCGGCGGCGTTTGTACATGTGGACCGGCTGCAGGGTTAGTCGGCGCCGGCGCATGTGACACATAATGAATGGGCTGTTGTGTGCGATAGAGTTCGCGACTTAATGAACTGCCACTACCGCTGCCTCCGCCTCCAACTGGCTGCAAAACAATGAGTGGTGGTAGGGGAGCGCGTGGTGCCGCTAAGGGCACTGGCGCTGACGGCGGTGCTTGTTGTTGGTGCTGGGTCAGGGGCGTTGCTCCATGCTGTGCTGCTAATTGATATTGCAGCTGTCGCACATACGATAACGGAATGGCAATGATGTAATGGATCTGTTGGCGTGAAGGTTGTTGATATTGTTGTTGTTGTTGCTGCTGAGACTGTTGCTGCTGCGGTTGTTTTTCTATAGCAACATATGGCTGTTGTTGTTGTGAATGTTTTTGATTCACTGGTTGTTGTTGTTGAATTTGTTGACTGTGGTGTTCATTTGGTTGTTGATGTTGTGTGTGCGTGTGTTGTTGCCTGTAAGGTTGTGGTGGCTGCTCCTGCTGCAATTGCCGATCCGACGGTATAAAACCTCCTTCGGCATAACTCAGATTCGGCGGTAGTTTGGCCGCCTGGTGGTTATACTGGTGTTTAAGCTGATATTGTTGTTGTTGCTGTTGATGCAGTGACTGCGGTTGTGGTTGCGCTAGGTGTTGCTGATAAGGCCCTCGAAAGGAATGTATAGGTGTGCCATAATGAATGTTGTCATCAACATAATTAGAAAATTTTAGACCATTTGAGGGTCCAGAGACTGGGCGACTGTTTAGAGGCCTGTCATAATATACCTGAAATAAAATTAATTTCAATACAGTAGTACAATAACAAAAAGTAGAAGATTTTACTTTTTTATTGCTCAAGATATCTGAGCAAATATATAGGCTTTTCATGTACAGATTACGAATTTATCAATGACAATATTGGATGCGATCTTGTTTTGAAGATTTTTGATAAATAGCGCTTCTTGGTAATAAAAATTTAGGTTTCCACTCATAATTATGAAAGTTTTAAGATTGAACTAAATTTAAAATATGGAGATTTCTAGAATGACAGACTCACTATAAAATTTACCGTTCTATCCGAAAAAAATACCCAGACATCGGTACACCTCACCAATGTATGCGAATAGAGTTTGAAACATTTATACCAAAGTTATTTTCTTAAAATTCACTCATTGGTTTAATTCGAATTGTTATCGTTGGACGTGGAAAAATATTTTTAGGTGATATTTCTAGAAAATGTCTGAACTTCTAAACTGTTGTGACCTTTGGTAGCCAATTATTCCTACATGGAAGCGTTGCCAAAATTTGACGTTTGGTCTGGCACCTCCCAAATTTAGGTAAACCAAGATCGGTCAATATGTGAGTTGTACTAGTAGTATATTTAAAAAAATCTTGAAAATACCAAGTATACCTGGGTTAAAACACCCCCTTAACCGTTCAAGTTAGTCCAAATTTGAAGTTTAGTAAAACTAAATGGACAAGATATCTTAAAAATTATGTGACTAAGAATGAAATTAGTTTATATCTTGATGAAAACCCCATATCCTTAATATAAAGAATTTCGATACTCTGGTTCACGTTTAACACATTAACTCAATATATTAAATTAGGCCTCTTCGATCGAATTAATATCACATACATATCACTCACTTGAAGATGTCTTTACTATAATTTTATCTGACGCAGGCTAAATTATACAAAATAATAATAAGTATAATGCTTTCGCACCATAATGTAATATAAACGAACTGAAGAAATTCTTGCAAGTTTCGAGAATATAATGTGTGTGGTTACACCCGATCTTAGCTCTTCCTTACTTGTTAAGCATTAGATTAAATTAAGGCTCTTCAAATGCAAAGTTTTACTCCCGATATATTGGTGTTTAATTTCTATACTGAAAGTGAAAGAAAATCAGATGGAATTTAAAGTTGGGCTATTTGGGAAACGGTTGTGATTGTTTTCTGATTTTTTCCAGCGCATTATAGTAATATCTGAATGCCACATTCCAAATATGCTTGAAATTAGTCGCGTTGTTACTGAGATTAAGGATTTAAAGGTTGGACGTTGCCACGCCCAGATATAAACCAGTTTTAAACAATATTAAAATTTTTCTTCACTCATGTTCCATTTTATTTCGTGTTTCATTCATGCCTCTGAAAATTTCCGAAAATGTTGTTACGTTATTTTGCATTTCAGGTGACGATTTGTAGTTACGTCGCTATTCCCGATTTCTTCTGTATTGTATAAATAATGGAATAGTTGTGATTATCACAGTTTTATTCGATATGATAACTCGATGTTGTTCTAAATATTTCTTAATTTCTTTGTTAAACTATAAAATCAATTATATTTAAGTAAAACACTTTTAAAGAGATATTATATATTATGGCCGACGATTTTTCTGCGAAATTTAAAATAAAAATTTCAGGAACAGGTTTTCACTTCTCCTGAACATTTGTCATTTTCTGAGTTGTAACGCTTTTGTAAATAGTGTGCGATATCCATTTTATATATCGTATTAACGAAAAAATATTTCGTGCTATCGACTTACTTGTGGAGCTGCCTCTTCGCCTATATAACGTACGGTTGTTGGTTGAAAACTAATTGGAGAAGGAGCAGGGGATGATTGGAATGGCTGCGGCTGAGAAGGCAATTGTTGATAAGTTCCACTAGTTACGGGTCTGAAAGGAGCAGCTTCTTTGTTTGTGAATGCTGTTGGCCCTGCAAATATTACAAAATTAAAGTATGTATGTGTATTGCTTTTGTACTCTGGAAAGGTGTATTCTTAGGTTAACAACTAAGCTTAATTCAGGATTAACCGAACATTTCATACTCTTGCAAGTTGCCAGTATCAAAGCCAGGGAAATATGTTAAGAAGCATAAGCTTTCTAAGTTATACGGTTACCATTTTAGATACAAAGTTACACTGTTATCAGTAAAACACGTTCTCTCATTTCCTTGGAGATAACTCACATCTCGACCGATATATGCGGAATAATAGGAATAATAATAATTCGTTGTATTGAGTATATGGAAGCAAAAGGAAGGACTGACCAGATTAAACCCATTTCTGACGCAGGGAAGGATTATCTCTAAATTTCAATTATATATCTAACACATTGAGGATATTTGAGGTAAAAAGTCGAGGACTCCAAATATTCGGTACCTAGTGGCTTGAACACGTTTGTTGGGTTTGTGATATATGAAAAGATGGCATGGTTGCAGTCTGAATGTCATGTACCAAATGTGGTTGAAATCAGTATCCTTTTCTGCTAGGGAATATCTGCGTCAAGTTTCTTCAAGACATCTCAGTTTTTGCTTAAGTTACAGCTTACACGGACGGACGAACAGGCAGGTAGTCACTCGGATTTCCCTTCGCCTCATCATCCTGACCATATACTATATAGGGCTAAAAAGATTTGTATATAGTCACATATTGACATACATACACTCAATAATAAATAAATAAACATTATTCCCTTCAAACCTGAACTCTTTCTTAAAATAAAAGAAACTTGGTTACACATTTTTGCTGATCAAGCAAATAGCGATTTGGAATGCATGCAAATATGAGGTACATATGGAGTGCCAGCGAGCACACTACAGTAAATGTAAGAAGCAGTAGAAATACAGAGCCAAGCAAAGAAGCTTGCGTTTTTATTGCACCAAAACTGGCGACGAAGATTCACAAGTCAAGAATTCACAAATGAGTAAACCAAGTTATTAACCAACAAAGCGATCCTTTGTGCCAAATTTCACTTTAATATCTTTATTTATGGCTTAGTTATGACACTTTATAGGTTTTCGGTTTTCGCCATTTTGTGGGCGTGGCAGTGGGCCGATTTTGCCCATCTTCGAACTTAACCTTCTTATGGAGCCAAGAAATACGTGTACCAARTTTCATCATGATATCTCAATTTTTACTCAAGTTACAGCTTGCACGGACAGACGGACAGACGGACGGACGGACAGACAGACATCCCGATTTCAACTCTACTCGTCACCCTGATCACTTTGGTGTATATAACCCTATATCTGACGCTTTAATTTTAGGGCTTACAAACAACCGTTATGTGAACAAACCTATAATACTCTCTTTAGCAACTTTGTTGCGGGAGTATAAAAACAATTCCATAACTGGACCACGTTCAAAACATGAACAAAATAAAATACGAGCAACAATGTAACTGTATTTTATAATCATTACTAGTAAAATAAGAAACTTTGCAGCCTTCAATGTTAGATATTCAATGGAGTAAATTGAATCTAGGGGTGGAGGAGCCACATATTGACATACATACACTCAAGAATAAATAAATAAACATTATTCACTTCAAGAAAGACTTCAATCCTGCACTTGAAACTTCTTGAAATAAAAGAAGCTTGGTTACACATAAAGTAAAGGTCAAGCAGTTGAAATAAAGAGCCAAGCAAAGAAGCTTGAGTTTTTATTGCACCAAAACTATATTCAACCTATTAGAGCGCGATACCACACCCATTTTTACATTATTTATGACTATCTGTCTCGATAACTTTTGGGTTATGCAAACAACCGTTAGGTGAATAAAACTTTTACACCACAAGCAACATGTTGCAAGAGTATAACAACAAGTCAGCCAACTAAAGCTACCACCACACTCACCAACTTGATCTGAAGAGTCGCGTTTTTCTGTTTTGCTCTTTGTTGCAGGTGCTATGCTTGCTGTTACTTTTACTGTGTCGACTGCTGTTTCCACCGCTAGGCTATCACTTATGTTCGCAACATTTTCGGCGAAAACGCTCATAGAGCAAACAAGGAGCAGCAAAGATATCTGCGAAAGAGAAAAGGAAGGGGAATTTACAATTGAGTTATTACATTTAACAACACATGACAATCAATATAGTGTAATATGTGAAATCGGATCATCATTAATCAAATTAGTTGTATATGTGTTCATCCTACTATGGAGCAACAATTCAAGTTGAAACTTTGAGTATCGCAAAGAAAATTTATTCATTGCATTGAAATCTGAAGGACATATCCTCTTCAATCCACTAGTTGATGCAACTGTACTTAAGCCATCTAATGGGAGGCTCAGCAAACAAAGAGGTCAGATAATAAGAATAGATGTGTTAGAAAAGTATTCCTAAATGAGCATACTAGAGAGTGGTCAGTATCATGCAGAGACTCGACCTAATCTCGTTCTAATCCAGTGAGTCATCATAAGTCCTACTAGTGACAGTAATGACGCCGATAGTTTCGATTTCTACTGGACCTTGATCACCCACGTCAACCCAAACGACTAAGTATTCAAGTGCTTCATCGACTTGCATCCAGCGTTATTTAGATTTCTAGTCATTTTGGTTGGCTTAAGCGACATTATCAAACATTTCTTCTCGGCCAAGACTACTTTTTCTTTTCTACCACCAACAAATACCGTGTAGAAAGTTCTCAGAGCAATCGCATGTGGTTGCACTCAAAATAGATGTTTTTTTTTTAATAAACATTGATTCACTTAATGACTGTTGTTGTTATAAAAATTATATGGCTCGTCGGTTCTTCTTATCGGCCTTAAAGATCCATATATTTCGCAAAAAAAGCACACCACAATTTCGTGGCTAATATTTAAAGTTGACATTGATTTTGAAAAATAAAGTTAAAGGTTATGGCTGTCAACTATACAGTGTGACATCCAATACTTGTCTTATACTCGTGTCTGTCTCTTTGACATCGTCTCTTTAGATTTGGTCAGTTCCGATTACATACACTCAACTGTCCCTGCGATGCCAACCTTTGAATGGCCGTTTGCGAAAGTCACTTTCGAAAGCGTGTTTTTCCCAAGGATTATAGTGGATAACACTGCTCTTCTCAGAATTTCTCTTTTTAGTCTTCTAAATCTATCTTAAGGATGGCGAATTTATTATGTTAGATTCAAGACTGAGTACAGCTTTTGTATTGTTACCGTATTTTCAGTCGCTCTCTTTCAGCCTACGCTGCAAAGAAGCTAGTTCTTCAAGTTCTTTAATTAATTTATCTAGAGTTCACATTCATCCCTGCAAAATTATACGGCTGTGTAAGCTGACATTGAGCAGCACCAAAAGCTCTATCAGAATCGGGTAGGATCTCTCCGAGCCGTTCGGTACCAAACGAGGTTTCAGACAAGGCGATTCCTTATCGTGCCACTTTTTCAACCGGCTTCTGGAGTAAATAGTTCGAGCTGCAGAACTAAATAGAGAAGGTACCATCTTCTATAAGAGTGTACAGCTTCCCGCGCCGTTAGTTCTGCTTTCTCCAGAAGCAACACAAACGGGTCTGCAAGACGAAATATCTCCTGTCATCAAACAAATAGTCGTCGCACTCGCGACTTGGCACTCACGTCACTGTTAACAGTCATAACTTTGAAGTTGTAGATAATTTCGTCTATCTTGGAACCAGCGCTAACACCACCAACAATGTCAGCCTAGAAATCCAACGCAGGATAACTCTTGCCAACAGGTGCTACTTCGGACTGAGTAGGCAAGTGAGAAGCAAAGTCCTCTCTCGACAAACAAAAACCGAACTCTATAAGTCACTCATAATTCCTGTCCTGCTATATGGCGCAGAGGCTTGGACGATGTCAACAACGAATGAGTCGACGTTGCGAGTTTTCGACAGAAAAGTTCTGCGAAAGATTTATGGTCCCTTGTGCGTTGGCCACGACGAATATCGCATTCGATGGAACGATGAGCTGTACGAGATCTACGACGACATTGACATAGTTCAGCGAATTAAAAGAGGATGGAAGAGGAAGACCTCCACTCCGTTGGAAGGACCAAGTGGAGAAGGACCTGGCTTCACTTGGAATATCTCATTGGCGCCACGTAGCGAAAAGAAGAAACAACTGGCGCGCGGTTGTTAACTCGGCTATAATCGCGTAAGCGGCGACCAATCAAGAAGAAGAAGAAGAAGAGTTCATATTCATTATGAATTGGTAGTTCTCTCTAAATTTGTTTTTATTGAATTCAACTTTTGCATTTTTTAATTACATAATAACAAGCTTAGACATGGCAGTGCAAGCCGCCATTGCTTTGAAAAAAACACATTGTTTGAGGAAAAGGTGAAAAAATTAAAAGGTCACGCCCATTATTATTTTACATTGATACAGTGACAAATGAGTACAATCTCCAATTATGTTTGATTTTAGTATCAAAAGCAGTTAATAAATATTTACCTGTAAATAATATGTTTTTCCCATGTTTGTTCGTTACACGAAAATGTGTTCTTGTATTTGTATTCTTGTCGCGTTTATTGTTGATTTGGACCGTTATCTCGATATCTCGATTGTTGCAATACGAATATTAAATATTTTGCAGGCTTCACCGTACCTAAAACATTTTTACTCCATCCGCTAATTTGCATTTACACGTGTATTTTGTTGGTTATTCAGTTGTTGTTGTTATTATTGTTTCATTTATTGTAATGTTGTCGAATTCAATTAACTGTACAAAATTAAATTATCGCACGCCCGTTGAAACTTGTTAATTGAACACATGTACATGTCTACACAAAAAGGACGAGGACAAAATACAAAACAGAAAACGAGTGGGAATAACACATGCTAATAAGCAGAAAAAAACCATCGATTATTCGAGTCGAACATTTATTATGTTCGAAGCGTGGGAGTCGCAACAAATCAACTCTAAATATTGCTAGGCCAGTGACAGAGTAAGCTCACAGGATTGTGGCATATATGGTATGTGTATTTATATGTGTGTATGCTTCCAACAATATATACAACTAAATTATTTTGCGATGTGTATATTTGAAAAACTGATTACATATATGTATATGTATGTATCTAGTTATTTATTTGCGTATTTATACATATACAGTAATTGCTTTAAAAACTCTAGAAGCATATCACAACTCTCATATTTTTGCCCTAAGTGATAACATTAACGGTATATAGTTGAACTATTAACCGATTAGCTAATAAATACAATATTTCAAATCTTCTTAAGGACACAAAATAAATTGAGAGATATGATAGAAGAAGCAATTCGAAAAGCTGAAAGAAGGCAATTAAATTAATTACGGCCTCAACTCCCTTTTCGCTTTGCATTAGCCTTTTCCTTTAAAAATACGACGAAGATCAAAGCAGTTTCTTATCTATACAAAAACATAGTTCATATCAATTTTATATCCTAGCTACATGTTGCACAGAATATACTCGTCTTTAAGAGGATATTTTCATTTAGAGTTGCAAAAAGTATTTGAATGAAGCCAAAAGGTACAATAGAGAACTTAGAAGTACCCCGCATAACAAAATTCAGGCGAAGGAAACCCGATATAATAGAAACCACTCATTTTGAAACAAAAGTTGAGTTTTGGTTATAAAATCGTTATATATTGGTTAAAACAAATACTGTCATTGAAAATTGTTTAGTCCGAGCTCTAACTTTTCCAAATAAAAAAAAGCAAACCAGACAAATAATGTTTGCCTCACGCAAGCGTAACAGATTCGAGTTTCTAACCGGCGCTACCCAACATCTTTATCAATGTAAATTGAAAATAGATAAAGGCAAAGAACGTCACCTCGCGAAGGCTGGTAAAGTGAGCGAAAGATGAAGTTGTGAAAGCTTTGAGTGACTTGACGTGACTTGACATTTCAATTGTCGTCAACACCATAAAATAATTTGAACCAAAAAATGTAGTATCCATAATTCCAGGTTATTAGAACACTACAGAAACTATTTTTAACACTGCAATAACCACTATTATTATTTTACTATTCTAACACCTTAATTTGCTTCCTGCCTATGGTTGAAGCATGTAATATATTTGCACAAGTTCAATGTCACTGGCACACAACGGGAAGCAAAAATCGCGATCGCTGCCTTTCAACACGCCACACTGCACAATTCGGCTCATTCATAGCCGGTGGCTGGTACTCATGCCCATATGTATACACCTGCTTGTCGCCCTCTTACAAATATATTTCATGAACTGACTTTGGCAGCTTTTCCGCGTTTACACACGCGATACCTTTTAAACGCCCGCTAATCGTTTTACTTGGCGTTGCGCGTTGCGCGCTGAGGCGTGCGGATTACTAAGCCGTTTTCTGAACAAACTTCAGAGCCACTTATATAGTTGCCGCGTTCGCGTGCCGAGTACTTCGATGAAAGTGAAACTGAGGCCGCCTCTGGTATGGATTTTATACTCACTGCCAAGTGGTTTTGCTGCAGCGCCGGTATGGTCCGCCAGGCAAACTCGTACATACCTAATGGGTGCATGGTGTGCGCTAAATACGACATGCGGCACACGAGCGCTTGGTTCAATCAACTACAACACAGTTTGAGTCGTTTTTTCTTGGGCTTACTTGCACAAATAATGCAGCGATTTGCCGCCTTGTCGCTTCCAAGAAGGAAGTGTGCGAATGACGAATTTTTTAATATATTTGTTTAGTTTTAATTGCACATTTTACTTTACGAACTATGTAAACAAGTAAATATCCCTTATAAACTTCTTAAAAATAGTTTCCAGCGTCTTTATTTTTAATAGACCGAACCACCTAGCGTTCTGGGGCTCCTTGGAGTTCTAACCACAGACAAATTTTTTTCCGACAATTTCTGGGAAGCATACATATAGACCGTTAATAAATCTGTAAGCTTATTAATAAAATCATTGTCAAAATAGCATTTAATAAAAAAATTGGTAACTCAATTATGTACATACATAAATATGTTCTAAATTCATTGATTTAATTTAAATTCTTTGATTCTAACAGTAAAAACGTAAAAATATTGGAAAAGAAATGAATATACAAGTTCTTCATATGAACAGATAAAAAATTAACTTTTGGCTTGACACTCCCACTTTTTGGTGTTATTTCACATCCTTACAATAATAAACAAAGCCAGCCTTCCATCTTCTCTTTCTTAATATTTCAGAAATTTAGAAGTATACTTGCTGTTGTTTACTGCAAGGTTAGTAAAAAACATAAAAAAATGGACTCATTTTCCGCCCTGTAAAAACTGTAAAAACCTTAACGGGTGATAAATTTACAACCAGCATATGGATATAAACTTTTCCTGATAATAGTGCACACTTGTGACAAAAATGCGAAAAATCGGGATTATATACATATATATCTGACGACAATATGTCTTTGAATACAATTGAGTGAATTTCTACTTCTCCTAACCCCTATAAACCTAATATGGTATAAAGATTTCCTTAGCATATTTTTCTGGTACTTAGGAAGATGTAAGTGGTATCTTCTAAATATTTCAAACTTCTGGTGCATATTTAAAATATCTTAGCAAACCAAAGAGAACGTATTGTAGCAATTTATATATGGTACTATAATTTAATGCCGAATATTTACAAAAGGCATGTTGAACGAGTGTTGCCGGTGCAAGCCTTTTGAATGACCTCTACGTCTGCATAACGCTTTCCCTTCATGGGAAATGAATTTTTCCGAAAAGGAAGAAGTCGCATGGTGCCATATCAGGTGAATACGGGGAGTGGTTAAAATGTGAAGGGGGCCGTCGCCCCGGGCGCAACGTCTTGAAGGCGGCGAAACGATCTTCGCTGTTTTTTAATATTCAGAAAAATATTTCAACAAATTTTTTTACAAAATTTATTATAAAAGATAAAGAGTTGTAATAATCTGAATAACAATGAAAAATATTAACTTGAAATGAAGAAATTGAAGCATTTTAATGCGTTACTATTTCGAATCGGAGTATGCTCACCAAATTCAAAAAATCATCAGACTCGCCAAAGGCCGTTTCTTTAAATATCGTAGCTTAAAAGAAAGCCATTCCCTTTTATGCATAAATACCTATTTTCCTAACGAATTATATACATGCACTTTCATAAATAAAGCAAAATGAATATGCCAATTTTTCTATTCTACTATTGACCTTGGCATCGAAGAGTTCTTCGTCCCTACGGTAAGCGAAAGAGCTGATCTGTTACTTTTCGTTGGACATCGCCGTGTCAATTTTCATCGGTCGGAGTAAGCGATACAATCATGCTACATCGTTTACCTTGCTCGCTTACCAATGTCTACCGTATCCCGCTGGAAAAAAATACTTTTATTTCTCCAAATTTTCCAAAATAGTATTTAAAAACTTCAAATTCTTGCAAATAGTGTGAAAAGTGTTCAAAATATAGGGCGAAAATGGGTTCTTTCTATGGCTTTTAATAAGATGTCTTGTAAATATACTTTAAAATTCACTTTTGTTCGAACCACCTCATGAAACTTTTAGGTAGGTAGATAAATGGGGCCGGCAGAACATCCTTAGCTCCGGGCGCCCGAAGTTGTAGCTACGCCACTGAGCGTCGGAGACCCTATAAAGTAAATGATCAATATGTTGAGCAGAGTCGAAATCAAATGCTTGTATGAAATCATATGCCTTGTTCATACAAATAATTTAATGTCGGAAGAAATTGTTCAGATCGGCTTACTATAGCATATAGCTTCCACACAAACCGAACGATCAAGGGCTTGTATTGGAAGCGTTTTCATTTGAAGTGGTATCTTCAGGAAATTTGACATGGATTACTGCTTAAGGTGATAATATAATCTATGAAAAAAATTACTCAGATCGGATTACTTCAGAGTATAGCTTCCATACAAACTGAACACATAGTTAATAAAAAAAACTGCACCTGTGAAGAGTATATTAGCCTCGGTGCAGCCGAAGTTAAGGTTTTTTCTTGTTCTCAATATTATAACAGTTTATTGGATCTGCTTTTTTTAAGCCTAACAATAAGTTATAAAATCTTAAATCTATTTAAGAACTAGACAGGCTCAAGCCAGTGATTGAGCTGTTTTGGTGATACGCTGCTCTTTAATACGCAGGCATATCTCTTCTTTTAAGGCGTCTTTGATCGCAGGAATGTACCAAAGCATTAGTCAAAGGGTTTGGGTGATCTCGGAATTTAGATATGTATTTAATTCTGCTATCTTCTGCTTTTTTCTTTACCATAGGAATACCAAGGTCTTTTGGATATTTTCGTTACGGGGCGTACCCCTCAGTTGAATGTCATGCATCCAAATCGGCACTTACGAGGTGTGTTAAAAAAGTATCGAATTTTGTGTTTTTTCAAAAATTATTTATTTATTCATTAACATCTATTTTGTCCCCTTCAAAGTAATCGCCATGAGATATTATACACTTGTGCCAACGGTTTTTGCAATCTTCGAAGCACTTTAAAAATTCATTTCTTTATCTTCTTCAGCTCCTCGGCAGACGGCATCGAAGTCTTTATTTCGTCAAGAGAAGCGTAACGTCGTCCTTTCATGGGCCTCTTCAGTTTAGGGAACAAGAAAAAGTCACAGGGGGCCACATCTAGGGAATATGGTGGGAGCGGCATCATTAGTGTATTATTTTTGGCCAAAAAGTCGCGCACAAGCAACGATATGTGAGCAGAGGCGTTATCGTGGTGCAAAAGCCAATTTTTGTCACATCTCCGCTTTCTGATAACATTTTGTACCACCGATAAACATTGCTTCGGCCCAAGGTAGCTTCTCCGTATGCCACAGTCAACATTCGGAATGCATCCACGCACTTCATTTTGTTTTTCACACAAAATTTGATACAGGTTCTTTGATCCATTTTTTTGAATAGGTAAAAATCGAAGACGTGAGTACCAACATAACGCCACAAAAAATTCGAAATTCGATCATACGTAACCCGCGAAAATTCAAAATTCGCAATACTTTTTGAACACACCTCGTAAATGTCTAGGCTAAGTTTAGAATTTTTATTTAAAAGCCAAATTAAATTTGCAGCTCTAATCTTCATGCATGTTATTTTACTAGAGATGTGTTTTCTCCACGTGAGCCCTCTATCTAGGTGAATACCAATATATGTTACTTCATTCGCTTAGGGTTCTAAAATATTGTTAATTTTTACTGCCAGGCACATTTTTGGTCTAAACGAAAATGTAACATGATTACACTTCTGTTCATTCAAATTTATAAACATACTGACACTTAAAACGCAATAACTTCACTTCCAATGGATGAAATGTCATGAAATTCTCCCTGGACAATCGACAAAAATATCAGATGGCGTTACCAGGGTGCGCTAAATTCATTAAGTCCTGTTTACTTTGGAACGCACCTTGTATGTCAGTCTTTCTAACGGAACCATGTTGTTGAGCATATCCTAGTAACGGCAATATGCATGATGTAGTGTTTTTCAACCACTTTAAATTTTCATCTGTGTGCGATATTCATTTATGTGCGATATTTTAATGAAATTAAAATCTAATTATGGATATCTTAACCGTAATGTGGTTTATCGCTGATTACGAATGAAATTGGTCTAGACCTCGGCTTAAATCTAAACTCCATAATAAATGATTTTGGTTTCTGGTATACATTTTGCCCATACTGTAAGCCCAATATATTAAATTTGAATAATTTGGTTGAGTTTAAATCACAGATTTGTATGTACAAATCATTTATGTCAATTATATTGATTTTAATATGAGGGTTACCTTTTATATTAAATTTCGACACTAGAAAACAAACGCAAATATTACTCATCAAAAATCACGTTATTTTACTTTTAAATATTCTCGATTAAAACCTATACACTCTTGCATGCGTTCGAACCAATTTTCGACACTTTTGCTGCACTTAATGAGGTATCTCCAAAACATGCGTTCTGAAGGCATCAACCACCGCTGAAGAAGTCGACCTATTAGTTTATCTTTTACGGTATGAAAGGAAGTCATTTGGTGCCAAATGAGGACTATACGGTGGATGATTCATCAAATTGATGTGCTGAGCGCTCAAAAGTGTGGTTGCTTCAGCCGACGAGTGAGAGCTCGCCTCCCTACAGTCGGCTTATACGTATAAGTCTACTATTTATCACATGACACGATGTCATAGACGTGTTTCGAAAAACCGCTGTAGTATTTTTCCAACATTTCTCTCGAAAGCATCAATAGCTTCCGGAACAACAAATGATTTAGTAAAGACCTTCACAAAATCCGTCTTGGAGTGATCTAGGACATCGATCGAATTCACCATACCATCGCTAAATACTGGCCTTTGATGAAACTTTGTACCCAAAAATTTAATTAATTTCTTCGATACGCGTGGCAGCGTAATTCCCTTTTTTGGCCGAGATGAATATTTTAAG